AAATGTAGCTTCTAATTCTTCCTTTACGTACATGAAGTTTGTAATGTATGACATGTATATGCAACCTATAATTCTATTTATCTCATTTAGACTTCTTCACGTGTCCCGTTAAAACTGTTTCATCTTTTCTTTTCGGTCTATCCTACTACGATTGTCTCATACTAAATTTGGTATTAAATCAGTTTTACTACAAATTACTTTATTAATTCAATATTAATTACATAATTCCACTTTTTTCATGATCGTGTCACCTCCTCACGTCTCAATGTGAGTGGGATGGAGGTAATATCATTTGTCTATTCATATGAAACATTCAATCATCATGTATTGTTTTAAAACGATTCACCCATGTTCTTATGTATTTAGTTGAATCTCGGACCCCTTATGTCGTCGTTATTCTGACTTCGTCACCAATTATATCTCAATCCCTTTGAACATTATCAACTTTAAATTGTATTAAAAAGGGTAAATTTGTGTATTTGAGGATCAGACCAGGCCGAATCAAACATAAACAGATCAGACCAGAGCAGACTTCGATAATTACTCCATTCGTCCCGCTAGAAGGTTCCCATTACGGTTTACGATGTTTGACTGACGATAAAGCAGTTTAATCCTTGTTCACACTCTGATTATTTTTAGTAAATGAAATTTACATATTCAGAAAAAAATGTAAATTTGATAAAAATTTGAGATATAAAGAAAAAATTAAAAAAGATTTAAGTTGACCATGTGAATAGTGTACGAAAACCTTCTAATTTAATGGGACAGAGGTAGTATAAAATACATGAAGACCGGATATCGACCCGACCAGATCAATTTAAATTAGACCAAACTAGCAAATTTCAGTACAAAAGAAAACATCTTTAATCGATAAATTTGTGGTTCCTATTGTTTGTGAAACTTGACAAAGCACATATATATGCATCATACAACACAACCTGACCGGTTAATATATCTAATCACAACAGGGGCGGACCGTAGTACAGACCCAGGGGAGCTGCCGCCCCCCCCAACAATTTTTTTTTTTAGTATATATATATACAAAAATTTTATTTTTACCCCCCCAACATTTAATTTTCGCCCCTCCAAGAAAAATTTTGAACCCCCCCAAAAAATATTTTCTCCACCAAAGCATAGCCCACTCGCAGAAACCCAATTGTTTAAGAGGCTAAAAAAATAGAAATTTTACAAGTAATATTATATCAACTCACTCCAAAATTTATTCCCCATTAACCCACCCAAAAATCTAATCCCAGCCCACCGCCCAGACCAAACTAATGAAAAACATGCGCACCTAGAAGAAAGAAACGGAAAGATCGATTATTTTTAAATGATTGTCCTTATGCCTACTATGTTCATTGCTTAGCACATCAGTTGCAATTAGCATTGGTTGCTGCTTCTAGAGAGGTGAAATATGTGCACAATTTTTTCATCGATTCAGTCGTTATTATTAATGTGACTAATTTTTCTTGCAAACGAAGTGATGAATTAAAGGAAGCTCAAGCACTTGAAATTGCAAGAATGTTGGAAATTGGTGAGCTTGAAACAAGCAGAGGACTTAATTAGGTCGGTACATTACAACAAGCTGGGGAAACTCGTTGGAGCTCACATTTCAGTTCTGTTTGCAGTTTGATTAGGATGTTTGCTGCAACTTGTTCTGTTTTGAAGATGTTGAAGAGAATGGCAATAACTATTCTACTCGTGGAAATGCAGCTAGAGAACTTAAGAAGATTAAATCTTTTGATTTTGTTTTCTTGTTGCATCTTATTAAAGAAATTATGTGCATTACAGATCTTCTATGTCAGCATATACAGAAGAAGTGCCAAGACATAGTAAATGCTATGCATTTGGTGTCAAGCACCAAAATGTTGATCCAAAAGTTAAGGGAGGGTGGATGGGATAACTTCTTAGAAATTGTTAAAGAGTTTTGCACAAAGCATGAAATTGAAGTTCCTAATATGAAATCTCCTTATGCGGTAAAATGCAAACGCCATGATCAAGAAGGGTTTGATATTGAACGTCACTATCGGGTGGATATGTTTTACGCATCCATAGATTCATAATTGTTGGAGCTGAATAGCAAATTCGGTGAACAGATAATGGATCTTCTTCTCTTAGTGGTGCTTTGGATCCTAAGGACTCATATAAGTCTTTTAACATTGATGATATCTGTTCTTTAGTGGATAAATATTACCCCTTTGATTTTATTGAGCAGGAGAAGGTGAGCTTGAGGTTTCAATTGCAACATTATAAGCTCAATGTTCTAAACCATCCAAAGTTGGCAAATTTTTCTACAATGGGTGAACTTTGTCAAAGATTAGCGGAGACGGAGATGTCAAAACTCAAAAGTGTACTTTCTTAGCTTGTTGATAAATTAATCCGACTTTTGTTGACTCTACCGGTTTCGACAGCAACAACCGAAAGGACTTTTTCCACAATGAAAATTATAAAAACAAGGCTTCACAATAAAATGGAGGATGAGTATGTTGCAGACAACCTTATTGTTTATATTGAAAGAGAAATTGCTAAAACTTTTGACTAAAAAGCCGTGATTGAGGAATTTATCTAGTTGAAGAAGCGTTGGGTACAATTCTAAGGTACTAACTTTAACTATTTTGTAATAATATATTGGGAAAAGGTGCAAATAGGCCCATGTACTAACCAAAAAAGGTCAAATAAGTCCTTATTTAGGAGGCTCTGTCCGGTCATCGCCATTTGGGGTGGTTCTCGGTGGAATTTTTTGATGAAATATTTTGAGCATCTTATTCATCAAGTCTAGTTTACTCATACCAAATTTCAGTTAAAAATTCAATCGGGAAGGCATTCAAATGAATTCTTGAAGATAACTGCGATTCTAACTGCGCAGTTATTTTCAAGAATTCATTTGAATGCCTTCCCGATTGAATTTTTAGCTGAAATTTGGTATGAGTAAACTAGACTTGATGAATAAGATGCTCAAAAAATTTCATCAATAAATTCCACCGGGAACCACCCCAAATGACGACGCCCGGACAGAGCCTCCTAAATAAGGGCTTATTTGACCTTTTTTGGTTAGTACATGGGCCTATTTGCACCTTTTCCCTAATATATTTGTCTCTTCTTCTATTATAATGCTTCATTTAATTACTACTCCGTATTATATTAAGGTTATAACTTATAATAATAATCGCCTAGATTTTTTTTGTTTAAATTATCGCCCCCCAATATCAATTTCCTGGGTCCGCCCCTGAATCACAATCAATTAATCATAACGTACGGCGTAATTACGACATACATGTGAAAACTATACACCTGAAAAAGAACAGCTCGTGAACCCTTCCTTCCCTTCGCTTAATAAATTGCACTTTCACAATGTTTATTATACTTTATTATTTATACTCACTCTTTAAGCTAACAATTTTTTAATTTTTTATAATTATTTGATCTCATATGCCCAGAAAAAAGGCAGAAAAAGATCTTGCCCGGAATATAAGAAGTTGAGTAGTACTCAGCCAACAAGATTCGACAGAATCTTGCCGAAAAGGGGAAAAGGAAAAGCACTAAACAGATAAAAACTTACCAAAAAGGGAGAAAAGAGGAATGGGGTGAAAACCGGAAAAGAAGAAGATTGCCGACACGGGAAAGAAGAAAAGGATACGAATTAGAAAGGATGAGAAACGGGAAATGGACAAAGGGAGATGACATGTTGCCTCACTTGGGTCTTGTCATCTTGAGCTCATCGTACGGAGTATTTTTAATTCAAGTTTGCTCTTTGTCTAAAATATCAAAAGATATTTGTATCTACTTTTTTACTCACTTTTGTACAAACATGATGGGTATAAGATGAGTATATCAAGCATTGTTGTTATACACATTGTTTATGAGAAGACTTTTTTTATGAGGACTTGTTTGTTGTACACACTTTTATACCCATCTAGTCATCTTATACCTATCATGTCTGTGAAGGGTTTTTTGTCTGTGAAGCGGATAATTTGCACAGACATATTTTATCTGTGATCGGGATTCACAGACAAAAAAACTTTATACAAACATGGTGGGTATAAAAGTGGATATAAGGGTGGGTACAAACAATTTTTTTTGTTTTTTTATCTGTGTGTAAGAGTGTGTATAAACAGAACTTTTTTTCATTTTATAAATGTGCCCCTCCTTTTAGATAGATAAATTATTAATAAGAAATTTAAATGGTAATGTGTTCACTATCTTTTACCTCTTGAATTGATAAAGTTTCTAATTATAATGAGAGAAATATAGATATAATATTTCTAAATTATAACATTTTAATGTGAACAGTGCACATGAGACATGAGAAAAATAGAGACATTCTATCTATAATATGTGTCTCCTGATTTAGATGTAGACCTACGTTTGAATTGATATTATGGCTATAAAGCAATTAAAATATAGAAGCTTTGGAAAGAAAGATAATTTCATTGATTTAAGTTTTCAGAGATGCTAAGTTATACGGAGTACTTTTTATGAAATCATCCTTCTTTTCTTACTTTCTAAAGGTGAATTGTAATCTAAAACACGAGCCAATGATTAATGTCCTTTGTTCAAATGTGCTCTTGTGATCACCACCAAAACTTTATGAAATAAAATACGTAGTATGAAGATAAAAACCTACGTAGCATAAAATATAACAATATTACTAAAAGACGAACAGTTTCTCAAAATATGACCTAGAAACCTGATGGACCGAAAGATGACTCAATTGCACTGCACATGATTACCGCCTCATTAAAATTGAAAGCAAATGACCTCATTACCCTGAGATGTCTGCATCGTAGGTTTTAAATAAAAAATGAATTTTTTTATGAAACGAAAATCAAAGAAACTTTGTAGGCGCCGGATACTGAAAATTAATCGCAATGCTGAATGAGAAGGAAACACCATTCTTCTACCGACGTGGAGTATATAAAAGGAAACAACTTCCTTCTACAGAAAAGACATAGGCAATAATTATGTGAACGGAAGATCAAAGATCATTATAAGCTGTCTATGGTGAATATATTACACGTAAGAATTGGAGTGTCACTGCCTAAAAATGAGGGCATTAATCTTGTTTACTAGTATAAGTTGTCTATGGTGAGTACTGAGTAATATTACACGTAGGAATTGAAGTGTCACTGCCCAGAACTGAGGGCATTAATCTGGTGTACTTGTATAAGCTGTCTATGGTGAGTAATATTACACGTAGGAATTGAAGTGTCACTGCCCAGATTATTTACAATTAAAAACAAACGAAAACCCTAACATTATGCTTCCGGCCCTATCGTTCAATCAATGTCCTTTGTCCCATGACTCCGCCACCACAGCTGTTAGGGTTGGCGAGTGTGTCTTCGTCTGGCGAGTCCGTCGTCCACCGGTCAGTCTGTTGCCGCCGTACTAAAGAACCACCATAGATTCTGGTGACTCTGCTGCTGCCGCCATCCTGAAGAACCACAATTGCAGGCCTCCGATGCGGCGACGAGTCCTCTGCCGCCTTCTTCCTCTAGATCCACATCTGCCCTCTAGGAAAGCCGCCACTGCCATGCTCCGATGGAAAGCCGGCACTCCAAAACATATACTCGGTATGGTATTAAAGTTATATTGTGTTCTTCATAAAATTAGTGCCATAAAAAATCATGTGAAATCATAAGTAATAATATCATCCTAATAGAGTTAGTGCCATAAAATGACACCATTTGTCATGTAGATCGGTAAAACATGGCACTTTGCAGTTTGCCACTATAATTCCAAAATTATATTGCCCTTTAAATATAATGGTATAAAAACGACATTATTTTTAAAACAATTTTTGAATAATAACATACGGAGTATCATTTTTAGATTGATATTGTAAATCTGAATAGTTTTAAACCGGTTCATCGAACTTAACAAAAAATCATAATAAAAAATTTAGAAATCACCATCTTTTCACGTATGAAGTTCAAACAATTTCAGATTCATAAGTTTTTTTTGTTTCGTAAGGTGTCACCTACCCGATCCAGTTTAGTGTACAGTGTGTTTACACAAAGTCATAAAAGGATGGGTAAATGACTATATATGCTTGGTGTAAATGTTATGTTTTTACGTAAAAGATGTTATGAATGGAATAAATACACACCAATAGTTTATATTTTGTGTAAATGTGACACATTACACAATAAATGCTATTATGCATTTTTTAAAATGATATTGTACGTGTTGAAACTTGAAAGGAATATTCCTTTCACGCACGGTATTTGTACACATTGTTAGTACACGTCTTCTATTGATTGTGTATCAGACAATTCGTTATAAATGCAAAAACTCAATGTTTTGAGTACAAACACACAAAATAAACTTGAAAAATTAACTTAAATATGACTAAGAACATTTGTGAATTTCAAAATATAACTATCATATTGTTATCCCAAAATAAGATTAATCACTGCTATATTTGGGCAATGTCAGACTTTAAATATCGCAGTATTTTTCAAATTTGAAAGTAATTATTCTTTTTTAAGAAATAAAAAAATATGAAAAACTCATTTTAATATTTTCAAACTTTTTTGCTCATATTTGCGTAATTTTCCCGTAACTTATAAAACGGGGTTGTGTGTACACGAAAACCTACTCGTTTGGGATTGTGCATCGGATGTTATACTGCGTAGAAGCTATATCAATATCACGTTTAGACGTTAAAAATCTCCCGATTGAACCAGAAAAGGACCGGTTAACATCCACATCACGCTATATATTGTGAACGGCGTTTCTATAAGCCGCGGCCCCATCTGCCGTGGTCCATCCCTAAGGAATGAAGAGCGGCGGTCCTCATCAAATCATACCCAACTTTTAATCTCAAACTGAATCATTGTATAAAACCACTCAAGCTATTCAGAATGGTAGACAGACGTCTAATCACCAATTAATCCATTCTACTACGTAATATTCTACTAGTATTAGCTCTATTGAAATTTTAAAAATATACTCCGTAGATTACTGAAATATACTCCGTATTAGCTCTAATATGTTGATAATTTGATATATTATAACTATCTTGAGTAAAAATTATGACTCATGCAAAATTAACACTATCTAAAATGTATTCATTATAATCTCAAATTTAAATGTAGCTTCTAATTCTTCCTTTACGTACATGAAGTTTGTAATGTATGACATGTATATGCAACCTATAATTCTATTTATCTCATTTAGACTTCTTCACGTGTCCCGTTAAAACTGTTTCATCTTTTCTTTTCGGTCTATCCTACTACGATAGATTGTCTCATACTAAATTTGGTTTTAAATCAGTTTTACTACATTATTACTTTATTAATTCAATATTAATTACATAATTCCACTTTTTTCATGATCGTGTCACCTCCTCACGTCTCAATGTTAGTGGGATGGAGGTAATATCATTTGTCTGATTCATATGAAACATTCAATCATCATGTATTGTTTTAAAACGATTCACCCATGTTCTTATGTATTTAGTTGAATCTCGACCCCTTATGCATGTCGTCGTTATTCTGACTTCGTCACCAATTATATCTCAATCCCTTTGAACATTATCAACTTTAAATTGTATTAAAAAGGGTAAATTTGTGTATTTGAGGATCAGACCAGGCCGAATCAAACATAAACAGATCAGACCAGAGCAGACTTCGATAATTACTCCATTCGTCCCGCTAGAAGGTTCCCGTTACGGTTTATGATGTTTGACTGACGATAAAGCAGTTTAATCCTTGTTCACACTCTGATTATTTTTAGTAAATAAAATTTACATATTCAGAAAAAAATGTAAATTTGATAAAAATTTGAGATATAAAGAAAAAAAGTTAAAAATGATTTAAGTTGACCATGTGAATAGTGTACAAGAACCTTCTAATTTAATGGGACGGAGGTAGTATAAAATACATGAAGACCGGATATCGACTCGATCAGATCAATTTATTAGATTAGACCAAACCAGCAAATTTCAGTACAAAAGAAAAGCATCATACAACACAACCTGACCGGTTAATATATCTAATCACAATCAATTAATCATAACGTACGGCGTAATTACGACATACATGTGAAAACTATACACCTGAAAAAGAACAGCTCGTGAACCCTTCCTTCCCTTCGGTTAATAAATTGCACTTTCACAATGTTTATTATACTTTATTATTTATACTCATTCTTTAAGCTAACAATTTTTTAATTTTTTATAATTATTTTATCTCATATGCCCAGAAAAAAGGCAGAAAAAGATCTTGCCCGGAATATAAGAAGTTGAGTAGTACTCAGCCAACAAGATTCGACAGAATCTTGCCGAAAAGGGGAAAAGGAAAAGCACTAAAATAAAAACTTACCAAAAAGGGAGAAAAGAGGAATGGGGTGAAAACCGGAAAAGAAGAAGATTGCCGACACGGGAAAGAAGAAAAGGATACGAATTAGAAAGGATGAGAAACGAGAAATGGACAAAGGGAGATGACATGTTGCCTCACTTGGGTCTTGTCATCTTGAGCTCATCTTACGGAGTATTTTTAATTCAAGTTTGCTCTTTGTCTAAAATATCAAAAATGATATTTGTATCCACTTTTTTACTCAATTTTGTACCCACCTATGTGAAGGTTTTTTTTGTCTGTGAAATGTGGTTCACAGACAAAAAAAACATTCACAAACATGATGGGTATAAGGTGAGTATATCAAGCATTGTTGTTATACACATTGTTTATGAGAAGACTTTTTTTATGAGGACTTGTTTGTTGTACACACTTTTATACCCATTTGGTCATCTTATAACTATCATGTCTGTGAAGGGTTTTTTTGTCTGTGAAGCGGATAATTTGCACAGACATATTTTATTTGTGATCGGCATTCACAGACAAAAACTTTAAACAAACATGGTGGGTATAAAAGTGGATATAAGGATGGGCACAAACAATTTTTTTTGTTTTTTATCTGTGTGTAAGAGTGTGTATAAACGGAACTTTTTTTTTCATTTTATAAATGTGCCCCTCCTTTTAGATAGATAAATTATTAATAAGATATTTAAATGGTAATGTGTTCACTATCTTTTACATGTTGAATTGATAAAGTTTCTAATTATAATGAGAAAAATATAGATATAATATTTCTAAATTATACTCCCTCCGTTCCCAAAAATTCTTCTCACTTTCCATTTTGGACTGTTCCCAAAAATACTTCCCATTTACTAAATAAGGAAACTTCCTACTACTAAAAAACTTATCTTACCCCTTAAAATATTTACCCTCCTCACTTTTCTCTTTTACACTTACACTCTACCCCACTTATCTCGTTCCATTCTCTCTCTCGCATTATCTCACCTCCTCTCTCCTTGTCTCTCACAGTTCCGATGCACCGCCTCCCCTCATCCTCTCATCCCTCTGTTTCCGATGCATCGCCTCCCCTCCTTCTCTCAACCCAAATCCACAACAACCCTAGCTTATTTTGTTGATCTAATCGTCTGTTCTTGATTCAAATCCGTAAACCTAACATTCGACCTCCATGATATCAAATCCGTAAAACCTTACATCTTGAATTGATAAAGTTTCTAATTATAATGAGAGAAATATAGATATAATATTTCTAAATTATAACATTTTAATGTGAACAGTGAACATGAGACATGAGAAAAATAGAGACAGTCGATCTATAATATCTGTCTCCTGATTTAGATGTAGACCTACGTTTGAATTGATATTATGGCTATAAAGCAATTAAAATATAGAAGCTTTGGAAAGAAAGATAATTTCATTGATTTAAGTTTTCAGAGATGCTAAGTTATACGGAATCATCCTACTTTTCTTACTTTCTAAAGGTGAGAATTGAAATCTAAAACACGAGCCAATGATTAATGTCCTTTGTTCAAATATGCTCTTGTGATCAACACCAAAACTTTATGAAATAAAATACGGAGTATGAAGATACTTGTTTAAACTAAAGTTGAGGTAGTAATCTGATCTATTTAGGGATCTAATAATGGTTGATCTAACAACATTATTGTGCAAATTTCTAATAGTAAAGTTTATTTTAAATAACAAAAGTTTAGTTGCGGGTCCACTCTAATTTGCCCTAAATTAAAATGTATTTTTATATTATGGAACATTTCATGATACATGATTTGGTAAGAAAAACATTTCATGTTTCTCCAAATTATAGAATCTCAATGGTAGTGCTAAACAGAGGTAGCATCTGCTTTGGCAGTCGGGGTTGTAATTGGTATGTAGTACTTTTATCTATCATACTTTTCTTTTTAAGGTATTCCAAAATAAGTGTCTTCTTTCCTTTTTTGGAAAGAAATATGTGGCTTATACCATTTCAGTTTATTATACTCAAACCTCAACCACAACTTTTATTTTTTAAACTACTTCATTAATAACCGTGTCTAGTCAAACTAAGACACATAAAATGGGACGGAGATAGTATTTAATATAGAAAATGCCCTTTTTACGTAACATTTTGTACACGACATTGTACCCACTGTACAAATATTGTCTGTCTCCAGACATTTTGACAGCATTTTGTAAAGAAAATCGGTTTCGCGTAGACAAAAGATAAATTCTCTATCAGATAATTTGTGTATGTGTGTGACACTAACATTTTTTTTGTCTGTGCAAAAACCGGTATTTCTCACAAAACGCTGATCAAATTGTCTGTACAGACAAGTACAAACAATTTGACCGGCGTGTACAATGTCGTGTACATGAAGCACCATTGATTTAATATTCTCCAAAAGTTGAATCCCCAACCCGACCCGATAGAGTACGTATGTGTGAAGATGTAATTAAACCACACTGACTCAATCAATCCGGCCTAAGTCCTAACAGTTGTAGACCTTATATATACATGTGCGCACCAAAGGAGTTGTGATCTCTACACGGTCATTACAAGTTTCGATCGTTGATCATTTTCCAACTTGCCCACCCCTTTGTTTAAATTTTAGTCCTATACAAGAAATTTCTTCTTATTATTAAGGGGATCAAAAAAAGAAAGTGGGTAGTTTTTTAGGAACGAGTAATTATATTCATGCTAGCAAATTTTGATTTCAAAAGCTAAAATGAGAATCTAGAACGGAAATGTTGCAGCTAGGCAAGCCAGGCATGTTACATGTAAATGTTCGTACATTCATATAATTATAACTTTATAAGACTAAAACTCAATGAGTTTTAGAATAATTACTTCTTAATATAATGATGATGATGGTGAAGTATATATATAGCCCATTCTTAATTAGCTTATTATTATGGCCGGTCTTATGGAATATGGAATTATGGATAATCTCACAGTACGTACGTGAGAATTTCACTGATTAAATTAGAGATCATAGAAATGAATTCCACTAAATCAGAAATGGAAGAAAGAAACCAGCCAGCTAGGGCCGGAAAACAATTCAAATCCGATCAAATTAATCTAATCATATTTATGCCACATGATTAACATAACGACACATTTTTTTATGATGAAGAATCTCGTTCTGTGTTCTCTTACTACCGCCCACCGGTTCCCTCTTTTACGCGACGAAGAAGAGCCGCCGCCGCCGCCCCTACTCTTCCCGGAAAAACTGGCCAGCCGCCGCTCGGCGCTCCCTTGGCTTGCTAGTACCGACCCGCACGACCCCATGCTTGTGAAATCAATTACTCCAAAATAGCGTTTTCCGGCGGCACGATATGCATGAAGCAATATAAGTGTAACAGTATATAAGTAGGTCGCCTTATTTCTCTGTTAAACAGAAAGTAAGAAATTGAGGGAAAAAAGGGCTTAATTAATTATTAGCCTCCTAATTATTTGGTTTGAATTGGGTTTAGGCGTGGGAATATATACTAGGAGAATATACTCTGCTACATCATTCTGTGGGACCAGACGTATAAATACGCCGTATATAACCATACCATCAATGTTTTAAAACAACAAAGGACACACCATTAATTACAAGAATTAGTGGGTCGAAACTCAAAAGGAGAAATAGATGTCGGAGACTTGGAGCCTATCAACATGATGAAATGTATAATTGTTACCTTAATTATTGATAGTTTTACATTTTGGTACCTTATTAACCTTTATATGAATCAAGATAGTACATTAACTATACATTAATACATAAATGTTTCAATTTGTAATATTATTCAAATTTCCAACCAAAATATTGCATGTGGTGGCCGAAATTTTATGCTTAGTCTAATTCAACTTAATTTTGTCCATATGATCACTACATGGTGATTGTACACATGAAATTTTGATTGCCATGAAAGATATTTTGGCTGAAAACTAGAATAAAATATCAAAATGAAGCATTTATGCATAGTAAATTAGTAATGGTACGTACTGATCGATTTGATCCATATAATAATTAAGGTACCACCAATACCAACAGTTAAAGTATCATTTATGCATTTGATCCCAACATGCTCATTAGTCACTAGAGAATACTCCGTATGTTAGTGTGATAATGAACTAAATGCTCCATAGTGAAAACACTGGTGTGCGGTGTGCCTCATATATTTATCCGTGTCAACTATCTTTAAAAAGAACAAAATATGGCCTTTTCTATAGGCTATAGCGCAGCTCACTTGATCAGTTGATTGATTATCCATTCTCAAGTCTACGATTGACCAGAACCAGAAGTCTTAGTTCCAGTCCCTCCTTATACTACGTATAGTATGTATCAATAAAATATACTACGTAATAATATTATAATGATTCAATCAAATATGAATTGTGTATAGCTACAACAACAAAATAGCAGTATGTGTTGATGTTATATGTATAATATAATAGCAGTAATTTTGTAAAATAGCAGTATGTGTCGACAGTTGTAAAATAAACATAAATTACAATCCATCACACTTAGATCAATTCATATGAGACCAAAACTTAAACTTATCAGATAAGAAAGTTACACTATGGTATACGTACGGAGTAATAAATATATATCCCTGGTTGATTAATTATTTGAAAAAAAAAGATAAGCTAAGTGTCCATGCAAATTTTTGTAGATTCTTTCAGTCAAACCACATATATTTTTGGTTCGCAAAAAAAAAGCTTATGCAAGTCATCCATTTTAATGGAGTACGTAGTTATTGGTCGGACGAGAATATAATTTATGAGTATTTCATTAATCATTTGGGCTACATGGTATACAATTATATAAAGCCCAACATCAGCATGTGCAAACAACTTGTATGCTGTATGCCTTAATTATATTGATCCTATGACATGTTTCAACTTTGAGCCCTATTTGATTGGATCAGTTAAAATTGATGAAATTCCGATTTAAGAGGTTGAATTTGAATTTGAAATGAATTATACTTAAAATATATTTTGAGACCATTTGGTAACATTACAATTGACTAGATTTGTTGAAATTGTTGAAATTCTGACTGAAACGGCTGAATCTGTTAATTTATGCAAAAATTACATTTAAAATATATTGAATAAATAAAATAAAAAATAAATATGAAAATCACTAAAATGATATTCTATAATAACATCAGCCAATTTAGCCAAAAAGCATCTGATTTACTTATTTCGATTATACATAATTCAGCGCACAAGGTTAAAGTCACATGTTTGGTATAGTAATAGAAAAACTTAATTACTTAGAAAGTTAATAAGCTGGAACGCTACTAAACGGGGTCTTAATTATTAAAATACAGAAATTAAATATATGCCTATATGAAAATGTAATTAAATTAGTCATTTTTGACAATATCAGTCAATTCGATCAGAAATATTTTGATTATTATATAATTCAGTAGAGCCGTTGATGAGGGTGTGCAAAGCGTACCTTTGCACAGGACCTCCAAAAATATAAGATCCATTTTTTGGACTATTGCATGTGGCTAAAATATTTTTCGGACTATTGCATGTGGCTAAAATATTAACTTTTGTACATGCAAGCAACGTTAAGAAGTTAGAGGCCATTAAATATTACGATTATATATATTAGTAAATGTTTCTCTGCCTCACAATACTTGGAACTGGTCATACATGTTT